TGCCAGGTGAGACCAACCCGACCACCAGTCTCTCCAGTGATTCCAACATAGATATAATGCCTGAGGGCAGCATTCTCATTAGAAGTCCACTGCATTCCCAGACGGGCCTCTACGTCTGCCAGGACAAGAATGGCAGCCAAGTGGTGCAGTACGAGATTGATTTCCAGGATGTCAACACCCTGCATATTACACATAAAGGCCTGGATCAAAAGCCCCTGCAGAATGAGACCGTGAACTTGGGTGACAGGGTACTCATCTTCACCCACTGGGAGCCCTGGCAGGACTGTAACCGCTGTGATGAGCCCGGTGAGCGCAAACGCCTGGGGTACTGCTACATCAAGGAGCCCCTGGAGGAGCCCATGCCCTGCTGGCTTTATCTGGGAGACATAAAGACATGGTCCAGCCGCATGCGACCTGAGCTACAAATAGAAGCTTGCTTTGACCAGTGCAAACCTTCCCAGAATTTCAGTTCAAAGTATGTCGTCTTTGACAGCTTCACACTCAACGAGGGGTCTGAATCTGTGTGGCTCACCTGCCCCTTGGGATCCATCTACAGGTGATGACACCCAAGCACCAGCCGCACCCCTGGCCCTTTCCCCAGCTCTGTATCCCACCATATAGGCCTTCATGGCCAGTCTGTGCAGAGGAGGAGGGGCTGCCAATGGGTCAGCCCCACTGGGCTTCTCCACTGGCTTGTTCAGATATTGGTTTGGGAAGAATCCTCTGGTGCCCGCACACTACCAAATAACACACACAGAGTAAGGATGCCTTCGTGAGAGCTTAGCTGACCTGGCCTTGTGCTGGGCAATGCTGAGGACACAGCAGCCATCCCAATGGCTCCAGGCTCTGCCCTCAGGAAGTCCAGTGGAGAGACAGCCCAGCTTAGACCTGTGATGAGGGGACCTGGATAGATTGATGGGGTTGGGGTGGGGGAGCATGGACAGAGTGATGGGGGCTGTGATGGGGGAGCCTGGGCAGTGTGATGGGGCTGTGATGTGGACAACATAGGAGGCTGTGGGGCTCTGAGAGAGACCTGACTCATTGGAAAGGGTCAGCTTCCTAAGGGAGGGATGGTGGCCCACCATGAACCCAACAGAAAATGCATCATGGGACTTTTATTACTCTCTCTATTACACTCATGTTCTTCTGGCCTGAAGCCCCTAGAAAAATCTCCCCTTTACCTCCTTTACCCAACCCTTCTGCTTCTCCACCACCTTCAGTAACAAGAAATAGAACTGCTCACAGGCACTGAGCTTTCGCTGTGGACCAGGCACTGGGCAGACTGTTTTCATGGATAATGTCCTCTCTCTCCTCCCCAGCCCCAAGAGCCGTGGACTCAGAGGAGACCCACTTTACAGATGGGGAAACTGTAGCTTGGGGGTGGGTAGGGATCACATCCCCCCCCCCCCCAAGAACAGAATTATGAGGTATATTAAGGAAGTAACAGGTTACAATTCAGGATCAGAAACAACTCAGGATACAGTTCTTCAGTCAGGAAGCCTGGGGTCACTGTCTTTGCCCAGGAATCATGGTGGAATGTAGCAGCATGGACCCCAAAGCCCACAGATTTGGCCATGGGATCCGCCCCCTTCCTGCCTTCCTCAAATGCTAGGGCAAGATGCTGGGGGGTGGGATGAAGCAGCCAGAGCAGCCCCTGTGCTTCTGCGGCCGCAGACCCTGTGGAACGCTGGCCTCACCACCTCCACTGTCCTTGTAGTGCAGCTGCGACTTCTAGTCCTCTCTTCCTGTCACTCTTTGACCTTTCTCTCTCTTTCTCCTTTCTTCTCTTGTGAGTGTAAAAGTCATACCTGCTCCATGCAGAAAACACAATTCAGAAATGCAGGAAACTGAGCTTGAACCCCTCCTCCATTCAGTGCCAATCACAGGGAACATGAAAAATCCAGGGAAATTATCAAGGATTCAAGGATTGCCTGGAGTCCTGGTGGCGTGGTGCCTAAAGCACTTGACTGCTAACCAGAAAGCTGGCAGTTCAAACCCACCAGCCACTCCTTAGAAGCAAAGTTGGGCAATCTACTTCCATAGTGATACGACCTCAGAAATCCAAGGAGGGGTCCCTATGAGTTGGATCCTACTCAACGGCAGTGAGTTTGTTTTGGTTTGGTGTGTCTCTAGGAAGTGGAGTGGTTTGGAATTCCTTGTGAGGTTTCTGTCATGGGCTCTGGATTCAGCCAGGCCTGGTTTCCTTCCAAGCCCAGCTCTGCCATTTTCCAGCTGTGTGGCCTTGGCTTCTCTCTGGGCCTGTTTCCTCATCTGTAGAATGAGGGTCTTGCTGGCCCTGACTTCCAGGAGTCATTGCAGTGTTTAAAGGAGCTGATACATGTAAAGTGCTTACAGCAGTCTCTGGCAAATAGTTACACATTCTATATAACTCACTCACTGTAATCGAGTCGATTCCAACTCACAGTGACCCCCATTGGGTTTCCAAGGTGTACACCTTTACAGAAGCAGACTGCCTCATCTTTCGTCCACAACACACTCTATATAGGGGTTAGCTATTGTGTTTGTGATTATCAGCCTGGTCCCAATATTAGTTAATGCCTGTTGAGTATCTCTCTGTTACTTCACCATGCTGGGCATGCGTTTATTCATTTAACACATATTCACTGAGCATTTATGTGACAGGCACTGTTCTAGACATCTGGGATACAGTAAAGAACAACACTGACAGATTCCTGCCCTCTTGGAGGAATAGACCAATCACATGAATAGACATTTATAGTGTTTTAGAGGGAGCTCTGGTAGCATAATGCCTAAGGCACTTGACTGCTAACCAGAAGACTGGTGGTTCAAACCCACCAGCCACTCCTCAGAAGGAAGGCTGGGCAATCTACTTCCATAGTGATACTGCCTCGGAAACCCAAGGAAGGGTTGCTATGAGTCGGGTCGACAGAAAACAACAACAACAGTGTTTTAGATG